TAGCACCTCTAGTAATATATTTACTGAGAAAAACGGTGACGAGTTCAATACTTATTTTACCCGCTGTATCTGGCTTAATTATAACACTTATAAAAAAAGTCTATAGCATACCAGTCTGTATATCATGTATGAGGCACATTCACATGCTGCCCACATCTTTTTATTATGTTCATAGCACTGCAATACAAAAACATTTTATCTACACTTTCTGTTTGTTGCTCTAATGTTTAGATACCAAACTGCATTTCATTGCCTTGTACTTGCACATGTGCAAGGACAATAAAGTTGAGTCTAATCTAATACAATATTTTGAAGTTAGGTGCTATAAAACATTCATCCCAGTGACTACAGATTTCACACTCGCTTTTAATTTTTGTGCTAATTTAAGAATATTTAATCTAAGTGGAAATMCACTAGCAAAGAAGACAAAAATGACAAGGTTTAAATGAAAATTGAAGGACAAAAAATAAAAAGATTTTTGGAAAAAGTAGCTTCAAGTTGTTCTTGGACAACATTTTAGGTAAAGGGGAACCCAACACAGAGCTATTTAATATCACTGCATCAGTATATAAGCAACAGAATTAGTGCATAAACATTGTATCAACAGTAAAACATGGTGGAGGTTACATCATTCTCTGGGGCTTCTTGGCTGCCTCCAGAAGTAGATGATGAAATTAGAGCTTTAACAAGGCTTATTAAAGCAATATGGGCAGATTTTAAAATCTAGGGCTGAGATGATGAATCCTTTTACAAAACAGTGACCCAAAGCGCAGAGAGGATCCGAATCTGGCTGAAGTGGAAAGACAGGGCATTATAATCCTCAATATATCATGCTTAAAAATGAGTAGGGTTAAATGTTTCCAAGCCGTGTTCATCTAATCTGACATGTTAAGTACAACACGAGGCCCGCCATGTTCTGGCCCGATCATGGTGAGATGGACTGGAAGGGTTTGAGAAGGGACACAACTGGGATTGGACGAGGGATAAGTGTTAGTTTTAGAAGGTCATCTGCCTGAATACTCCTGCACACATCCTGACATGCTGTATCTGCGCCTGTCACATGCAAATAGTTGTGCACACATTAGGCTTCCACTTGGATGAAACCCATCTGCAGCCTGTGCCTTGACCACAAATGCTAACAGTGTAATCACTAGAAAAACATGAAACACAACTGCGTCCTTTAATCCACAGGGTTCACACATGCACACACACACCCACACACACACACTGGCTTCCCAGCACACTTTCTGCACCGTATGCACTAATGCGCTCCAACACACACTGAAATACTCACACAGACCTAACCTCCTCACTCCACGGCATGGAAGAATGGAGCCAGTGTGTGTGTGTGAGGTGGTTAGCAGACAAGGGCCGGGCACACACGTTTTTCAGGGGCATGTGTGTGTGTGTGTGTGTGTGTGTGTGTGTGTGTGTGTGTGT